CCCCCCCCCCCCACCACCTTCCCTCTCGCCCCGACATTCCCTCAATCACAATAGGTGTTACTTGTGCGAATCAAAAAATGTTTTCTAGTTTCAGGGAGGCATTTAGAGCCATAACTCGTTCGTCTTACTTAAAAACACATTAAAATAACGAATCCACGGTGCTTATTTAAAGTGCCTTCCTATGCAATGGACTCGTCCATCTTATTCCACATGTGCAGATTTGGATTTGGTAGCATAGATGGCGGGCGGGGGCGGAAGAGGAAAACTAATTCTCAAATTTTGCCAAATGGTTTCAACCCGATTGGGACATTCAATGTGCATCAACGCCAAACAGCCTGTCGTCGTCGTCGCGATGCTGTCAGTGTCAGCTGACGAGGATGCGGTCGAGATGAAAGTGAAGAGTGACGCCAGTGGCACTTGTCATCACAACATATTGAACCAATCAAACCAGTAGACTCTTAATTATTTACAGGAAAAGCGTTCATGATAAAATGATATAAAGAACTGGGGAAATGCATTTTTATAAAACTTTTTTTTTTTTTTTTTTGTCGATAAATGCTGGTTTGAGCGCCCAAATGATGAACTACGCTCCACCTTATGATACATTTCATCAGGAAGCTTTTGACAAAACAATAATGCAAGTCAGCAGCATTCATCCCAAAACAGGGGAGCGATATGATGAAAAATGTAAAAAAAATACTCGCCCACAAGCTCATTATACAGCTCATGGAGGGGTCTTCAACTAGCTCGGCATGCAACCTCATTAGATGAGACAGTGCCATCCACCGTGAAAGCTGAGGAAACACCACTGCAATATTTCCTTTGAGGTGGATGCTTTATGGTAGGGGGGGCTTGTTACCCACGCACGACACAAAAGGATGGGAAATGTTGCAGAACGTTACTGGTGGAATGTGGAAAGGGGGGGGGGCAACGGAAATAAATGAATGGCTTTGTAAAATATCGTAAAAAGGAAAATACCTTGAAGTCTTCAGAGAGTGAAAGATTAGGGGTGCCTCATCCCTGAGTGGTGAGTGGATCTCGAGTCTTCTCCCGTGCGGGGCGTCCTCCACCGGGGGGGTAAAAAAAAAATGTAGCAGTCCTCCTCCAGTAAAATATCCTTCTCGATAATTTTAAAACGTGAAAAAAAAAATGGAACCTTCCCCGATTCACCCCCTTCACAAAAAAAAATAATAATAAAAATATCCCGGGAGTGAAGACGTCAAAGTGGGGGTAAATGTTGATAAAAAGTGCCCTGGCTCGTGTTTACAGGTGAATCTTGAAGCGCAAACAAACGCGTCGGTGGGACGAGAGCTGCAGCAGCCTCAATCAAGCGAACCCCTGAAAATACGTGCGCGGGCACGAGAAGGTAGAGGGAGAGCGCGCGCGCGCGCGCGCGACAGGGAGAGAAAGTCAGACCAACGTCACGACAATAATCACAAAACACCTG